AAATAGAAATCTTCCTTGTTGATTTCTGTTGTGTTTTCTCTCCGATCTTGTTGTTTGTAGAACAAAACCGCTATTTTTTGGCCGTTTTTGCTATTTGGAGCCTAGATCTGGATACCCATGGCAGAGAAAAAGGTATGTGTTAGAGGGGGAGATCAGATAATTGAAATATGAAATTTCAGATTTCAAAAGTTAAATTTCATCCGCCCATGAGAAGATCGATGAAAATTTTTCATCATAGAGGAGATGTGGAATAAGTTGCTCGAGGGCCAAACTAAAACGGCATCGCCAGAGGCGAGGGAAGCCGCTGATTGCCAAGGAAGTGGGGAAAATCCTAATCAGATAAGGCGAAGGGAAGATCAGGAGGCAGAGATTATGGATGGAGAAGATATAATGCTTCCCCTAGAGCATATTCCTAGGGAGGAGTCGGGTAGAGGGTATAAGGAGTAGTGGGATGGGTTTGGGCATGAGCGGAGTGGCGTTGAATTTGAAAAGAGGGGCTGAATTTGAAAGGCGATGGCTTAATTATGATCGAAGGGGTGTTGAATTTGAAGGGAGAATATGAGCTTATGATGAAAGGTTTGGATATGAGTGAAGAAGGGATAATTAACACAATTTGGAGGAATCACCCCCTTGGGGAATGAGAAATTTTGGAGGATACATGGGTGACGGAGGAGATTTGAGGGCGAGGAAGTTGAGGATGCCTATTTTTGAGGGAGATGATGCACGTGGGTGGATCTACCGGGTGGAAAGGTACTTTACCGTCAATAGGTTGATGGAGGAGAGACTGTCGACAGCTGGGATGTGCTTAGAGGGAAAAACTTTAGCATGGTATCATTGGAGGTTTATGAGGTGACTCATACGGATTTGGAGGGAGTTTAAATATTGTTTGTTGGAACATTTTCGAACCACCAGAGGAGGTGAATTCTATGAGCAATTCTTTGCCCTAACGTAAGAGGGGGCGGTAGTTGAATACCATGAGCAGTTTGAGCATATGGCTGGCTTACTATACCTGCTTTTGGAGGCCGTACTAGATCGGAATTTTATGGAAGGGCTCAAACCAGATATTTGAGCGGCAGTTAGAATGATGAAGCCTCATGATTTGGAAGAGGCTATGGAGCTAGCTTAGTTAGTGGAGGATCAAAGGCACCTGGAGAGAAGAATTCGATGCAGTAGCTCAGGAGGTTTGCATAGGATGACCCCCACCTTTTTGACACCAAAGGAGTCGACACTGGATACTTTTCGGGAGACCTCGAAGGAGATGACTGAATGAGGAAGGCCTGTGAACAATTTCAAAAAGCTCACAAAAACGGATTTACAACAGAAGGGGGCGAAGGGGGGCTCTGTTTCAGATATGAGGAGAGGTATAAACCGGGGCACAGATGTAAGGAGCGATCTCTTCAAATTCTCACCGTTTGTGATTATGAGGAAAGTGAGGAAGGATCATTCTTTCCACCTTGCAGACAAGGTGGGTCTTTGGGAGAGGAGTATTGTTAGACGAAAGTATCCCACCTCCACATCAATCCGCCCCCTTTTGGGGGTGGCGTTCACAAGTTATGCAATAGTTAGGAGGGATTAGGAGGGGAATTCAAATTAGGTGGGTTATTTTGTTGTTTTTTTTAATGCTTTAAGGAGGATTGTAAACCTAGGGTTAGTATATCTTGTATTTGTTGAAATTTGGAGAGTTCTTAGGTTTTGTTTTGTCTCGAGCCGCCGGCTAGAGATTGAGAGAACCGGATCTTCCTCTAAAATCGAAAATCCATTGTACCCAGTTTGTTTTCTTTCATCTACTATTCAATCAAGAGTGTTTTATTTGTTTTTTCTCTATTAAATCCTCAAAATCTGCTTGGCGAGGCTTCTGAAATTCTCATTTCAGCAATTGTTTTTCTGTTTATTCCAATATTTCCTGTCAGAAACTTTTGCTGTTCCATCTCTATATCGAAAATTAGTAGGAAGAATGTTGCAAGTCCTGATATTTCATAAGTTGTTAGAGAGAGTCATCCCATGCGAAATTCAAAGAAGAGCCATTGGATGGTAATTCTATGAATTCTTAGCATTATAGGAAGACCTTTAGGGAAACAATTGCTATATACAAAATTTGAGCATCTGAATGATGAAGCTGTCATGACCCAACCCGATCGGAATGAATCCCGTCGCGTTGAGTCGCGACGGATACCCCAAGATCTAGCTTTGGAATTTGTTTTCAGACTTTCTTCCAATACACAGACATACAGAAAACAGAGCTACTACAAACATCCAAATATACAAAGAAATTCATCCTTAATTTTCTTCTTCTATCTTTCATCAAAATAGTCATATACATTATAATGCATGACTATAAATAGAAAGTACAGAACAGAAAAGCAAAATAGTCATGACCGTACAAAAATCAAAAGTAAAAAAATACCTAATCTCAGATCATATACTGAACGGCTAGTCCAAAACCTCCTTCCCTTTCCAGAACCTGAAAACCATGAAGATAACCACAGTAAGCTAACAGCTCAGCAAGACTATACTAGCCGATCAAAATCTCCAAAAACTCTCATATCAAAATACTAACAAAAAGCTTTAAAAACAGTTTATTCAAATAGCCGTACAAAATTCAGATAATCGTACAAAAATCAAATAATCAGACAGAATTCAGAGATTCATACAGAACAGAAATCAAACAAAATCAGATATTCACACCGAACAAATAATCAGATGGAAATCAAATAACAGATATAGAAGAACTGAATCAAATTCGTATCACATAATCGTACAAATCACAAATCACATTTTCAAATCATATATCAAATCACATATCAGATCACATATTCCTGACCCAGATAGAATCTCACAGGATTCTGGCCCCTTATGCCTCCTTTCCCTGACATAGACAGAATCTCAAAGGATTTTGGTCCCTTATGCCCCCTTTGTGCTTACAGCACCAGAATATATCAGATATATAGAATTATCATATCAGAATTCATTTTCATATTCCCTGATACAGACAGAATCTCAAAAGATTCTGGCCTCTTATGCCTCCCTTTCCTGCCGCAGACAGAATCTCAAGGGATTCCAGTCCCTTATAACTTCCTTCTGATATCATTCAAATCACATCAAACATCAAATCATATCAGATTTAGAGAAATCAGATTCGTATCAGAAAATCATCAGATAATATAACGACAGACAACAGAAATTCAACGGATCAAAATTCACAGTTTCAGAAAATTACCAAATTACCAGAGATCGTGTAAAACATCATTTTAAGACTTTCATTGTACTGAAGCAATATTTTTAAACATTCCGATAATTTTCTATTCGATAAAAACTTCGCCGAATTCAAAATACCCGGTGAAAAACTTCCAGAAAATACTCAAAACGTGCAAAAACATCATCTCTACAACATACCAAAAGTTACACGGTAAAAGTTTTACCGGTGCAAAGTTATACCCATTTTTCGCTAACGGAAACAAAAGTTTAAACAGAAAATTCGTCAAAAATCACATTTCTGAAAATTGAGAAAGGCATAATGTGTCTTACCTCGAGTCAATCAACTTTCCCAACTGCGGCGACGGACGAAAACGGACCGAAGTCGCCCAAAACTTGACTTTTCTTCCTCTTTCCTTCGTTTTTCTCTCTCCTCTGCTTTCTCTCTCTTCCAAAAACATGAATTAGATATTTAATGGCTGAGATATTTCCCCTGTTCGTCCGGACGATATTCGTAGTTCGTCCCGGGACGATATTCGTAGTTCGTCCCGGGACGATCTCCTCGGTTTGTTCACAAACAAAGTTCGTACAAACGAAATTTGCTCTTCGTACAGGGACGATCTCCTCGGGTTGACATCGTACGAACGATGATCAATTTCATCCCTGGACGAAGCTCTCTGTCTAAAGGCTTTCAACTGTTCGTCCCGGACGAACCTGGAAGGAAAATCTAAAACAAGCTAAACATGAAAGAAAAAGGGTTTTCACAGAAGCTTTCTCCAATGCTGATTGTATTGGCTTAATTGAAGACAAAAAGTTAACCTCAGGATATTCCATCTCTGCTGTAGGAAATTTGGTTACCAGATCGAGGTAGCTATATATATATATATATATATATATATATATAGTCATTTCGTATGAGATTTTAGGTTTTTCAAGAAAACTATTACTCTTCCTGTCTCAAGTTCTGAATAAGTGGTGTATTTTTTTACCAAGTTTGTATGCAAGAAGATTGAACTGTTGGATATATATATGCAGAGGGGGGAGTGTTTGCAAATTTAGTAGTAATGGTTTATTAGGTGTGAGTTTTACGCTTTTTAATAGTGGAAGGAAACTATATTAGTAAACTATCCTCATAATTAGGGCCTTGGGGTATTATTTTCGGTTATTTTTTTTCATTATTGTATCAGCATATTTGCTTATTTATAGGCTTCTTACAAGTCAATAAGACACATATAAATCTTCTTTCCTCTCAGAGGATTGCTATAGACCTAAATAATGAAAGGTAATGGGGAAACACACACAAGCAGGAACTATTCAAACGTTATTGAAATAGCAAACAAACAAGTAAATAGAGCTTTTGTTTGATTATGCAGTAGAAGCTTTCAGTTTACTTAACTACAAGTTTTGACACCTGATTTGAAAATTTGAGAATAAAAACAAGCTTTGTAAAACAATATTAAATGAATTATTAATGAAAATATTAAACAAGCAGTTTATTAAATTACTTGTTAAACAACATATAAGAATGATCATAAACATAATTTATATAAGTAAACCTAAGTTTGGATTTATTCATGTCTCATTAAGATTCACAAATTATGTTTAAACATGTTCATTTAATTAGTAGATGAACATATATATGAGTTGGGCATGAGTTGACTATTGAGCTGAGCGTAGAGAGTACTGGTGTTAAGATTTACGCTTTTTGCATAGAATTTATTTTGTGAAACTTACTGCCTTAGCTAATTCTAAAACAAGAACATTTATTTTTGAGGCTTCTATTGAAGGAATTTATTTCCTACTAACAGAAAAAGCAAGACAATTCCAAGACAGATGGAAGTTTGAGGAACACAGATGATGAACTAACATGTAGTGTATGCTTGGAGCAAGTTCTTGCTGGAGAAATGATAAGAAGCTTGCCATGCTTGCATCAGGTTTGATTATTTTGTGCATGTTACAAAGATAATTGTTCTGTTTTCTCTTTTGCCATACTTTATATTTCTTTGCAATAAACTGTAATAAAGGTTCATTCATTTTAATTTTTAATAAGTAAACAATTATTTTGATTTTTCGATCACCTGCAACTGCAAGCCTTTCTTACTAAACAATCTAATATTTAGAAGCTTTTTGGGATAAATTTTTTATTTTTATTTTTATTTTTATTTTTCTATTTTAATTTTATTTTGTTTATATTTTTTTTATGAAATAAAAATATGTTTGATTTTTTAAATATAGGTTTTTTGTTTTGTTTTTATTACTATTGAATATCGCAGAAATTAATTTAGATTGCCCTTTGGAGGGTGGTGGCATTGGAGGTGTTTGTAGACTAGATAGAGTCGCTGTTAGATTCAATGCGGGGTTGGCTTATGAGTGGTGATTTGATCCCAATAGTTTGACAACATTTTCCATAATTTTATCAATTAAGCTTGTTAAGGCCCACTTGCAGTGCTTATTCAAGATGAGATAGCTACACGTCTCTTATAGAATATTCAATGCTTATCACTCCAAAGTCATTTTATATTGGCCTCTATTAAATATTGAGTTTGTTCTTGTATGATTTCAAGTATTGGATGGTTAAAAAGTTAATGATGGTCAAGTTGATAAAACTAGGAATGTTAATACTTAATAGGGTAGCTCATCGTGACTTGTTGGTTGGGAGATTTAGCTATCAATCAATAGGAATTGTGTTTGAAGGTTATGTATATGAATTTTGCTTTAATTGGCTTAGAAGTTCCCAAATCAGGATTGTTAAACAGGAATGCTTTGTAAAATGAAGAATGATTGATGAATGATTATATTAGAGGTATCAATGATATAAGCATTTATTAAGAAGAGGTAGTGAAAATATATTTTATTCTTGCAGCCTGCAGGCATATAAAACAAAGGTTTTATAAAATGAGCATCGAAGTATTTTGTAAATGGTGTAAACCAACGGCAATATGGATAAAAAAAAAATCATAAAAAGAACTATTAAGTGACTTGTTTATTATTTCATGTAGTACTTAATAAAAATGAATGATGAATGAAGGATGATACAAAAGATTGTTGGAAGAAGACTGGTGATGATGATGAACAGGTCTCTTATCTTTAATAGAAACTTGTCCACACCATACTAATGCGGCAATCATTGGAGATAGAAAATCCTCCCTTAAGAATTTTATCTGGCTTTCAACTTTCTAGGATGAGCATCCATCGCCACTTCCAATTTCTTCCTAGTTGGAACTTGTTGAATTTGATCCTTAATTATTTGTGTTATCTTTACTGGTGCAGTTTCATTCAAATTGCATAGATCCATGGCTGAGGCAGCAAGGCACTTGCCCAGTCTGCAAGCACAAAGCTAGCGGTCCTGGTGGTGGGTGGCATGGCGATAGCAGCAATGTTGAAATGGATGCTTCTTATTTGGTCTAAAAACCCTAAACTATGGTTGCTAAAGAACTAATTCGTTTTGGCCCTCCACTGTATAGTTATAGTATTTAAACTATGCTGCTGCTTTTAAGCCCAGCCTGCCTGTACAGTTTATGCTAACGGGTTTATCGGAGTTTCAGCACCTCTAATATTTATTTAGACTGGAATTTGTGATTTATTCCTGTATCATATTATTATTATTATTATTTGGTGACTTATAAAATTGCAGTTGTGATGATTCTTTGCTTTGGTTGGTGGTTGTAAACTCCTCAATTTGATCTGTTATAACTTCGTGACTTTTGTGTTGTCGGATAGAGAAATTGAAGAGCTGGATGAATCCTAATTTGTGAAGAAAATTTCCTGTAGATGAAAGGCGAGTTTCTGAAAAAATATGGGCTGGGAATGTATTAAACAGCCATTGAATTTATTTTAAGATTACAATATAAAATCAATCAATTATAATTATATCACATTCATTTTAAAGTAAATTTAAATGTAGCGATGATAAAAGTGGTTCAATTTTTCTGTGGAGTTTGATTTCCTTTTGTATAATACCCTTTATGTTTCAGTCAAGTCAATTATATTTAATTATATGAAAAATTGATGCTTTATTTGGAATAATTTTTTTAATTATTTTTAAAATAAATTATTATATATATATATATATATATATCATTGGATTCAACGATTATTTAGTATAAAAGAACATTTGATGCTGTACAACTGATGGTGTCAAGGAATTTATAGTTTTATAAATGTTTTACGTACTGTTTTGATCGTAAATATTCGCAGTAACGGAAAATTCGATTCAATGTATATAATTGTATTAAAATTAGTATTTAATTAGTATAGTTGCATATAAACTAGGCTGTCCTTTAGATTCAGCTATACGACTATTATATAATTAATATTATAGAAAAGTAAAAAAAAAAATATTTTGAATGTGATTGATTGATTTTGTACAAAGTATGTAGGGATGCTTAATTTTTTTTAACAACCTCTATATGCTTGTTATGATTATATTACATTGAATTTTAGCAATATTGATGAGATATTTATTGTCACAATATATCTTTATTGGTCATTCAATTTATTTTTTAACTCTTCTAAACTAATTTTGATTTATAGATGCTTGCATATTTCTTAGGCATGCAGCAATGTCACATTAAAATTTATACATAGATCTTGAAATAACATTTTATTTTGTGCTTCACCATGTTATGAAATTTTTTGAAAAAAAAGTGCACTATTAGATATGATACAGAGGATAATGTATATCGATGGGTTGATCATTGCTACCTAATAATAATTCCAAGTCTTAAGCTTGCTAGAGATTTTATGTTGGTTTATTCTTTCTAATATGGACTTTAAGGGGTGCAATGCTTAGATTTTTTTTTATAAAATTTGTGTTATAATAATGCCAATATGGAATATAGATATTTCATCAAACTTATCTTCTAATTTAGTTATCCCCTTTAAGATGAGTTTGATTGAAAAAACTTTGCTTCTCATCAAAGATGATATATTTTATATGGTATGATGATATCATTTATACCTTTTTAATTAAGTAGATCATTACTCAATAAATATACATTTACAAGCATTAGGGACAAGTTTACTCTTGTGTTATTTGTGTTGGATCTTTATATCCATATATAAAATGCGGAAATAAAAATCATGATTTTAGAAAATTAAATTGAGACTTTCTCCATATTAATTTTTTAATAAATAATAATTTTAAAATATGAATTGAAGAAAACGTACCGAAATGTTGATTGAGATTGTAGATTTTATTCGTCGAAACGTAGATTGAGACTGTAAGTCTTTTTCTTCTAATCACCTCACCAAATATATTTTAGTGAGTGCGCACAATAAATCAATTATTGATGAACACATTTTCTTTTGAATCTAGTTTGTGTTCTAAACACAATTTAATCCTTCAAAAAGAAAAGATTAAGAGACTAACATTCTTCTCGTATATCCTCTTTCATCTCTTATGAAGGAATCATGTATCTCTCTCTTTCATGTAAAACTTAATTATCTTTTATAAGAAAAGTTCACATCTTTTCATAAGCACTTTTTTGTAATCCATGAATCATTTTTAATCTATATTTAAATGATAATTATAATGACACATCATCGACCTTATATTTAATGACACATCATAATATTTATCTTTAATGATATATCACCATCTTATCTTTTAATATTAAAAGATATTTATGAGGAGTCATTATTATCTTCATGAAATTTGAAATAAAAAAAAAATAAAAGGTGATCATAAAGGCATTACTAATGTAATCATAATTTAATATTTATATTATGTCTCATTCTTAATGATGCTGTTCAAGTACTATATATTAGTGCTTAGGTGATGAAGAAGGGACATATGGACCTATAATTTAAGCTTCAATAATGTTGACTATTAATTTAACTCTTAAATTAATAAATCACAAAATTTGAGTGCTCAATTGTTCCAGTTTTGAATTAATTATTCAAGGGAATTAATTTTCTAACTTTCAAAAATGAAATGAATAGATTCCATATATGTATATTAACTTTCGGACTTTCCTAGTCATTTGTTTCATTGTGTTTATGAGATACAATGATTGAGTTTATTTCTTCCAAATTATTTTCGAGTAAGTAAAAAAATCAAATGTCACAAATAGGAGTTTATTAATAACCAAGGATTAAGATTATTTTATATATGATCATCTTTATGATTAATTTTAAATTCTTTATAGTTAAAACATAATTTATTAGAGAATTCAAAATTTATCTGGTCCAATTCTATATAATCATATTATATAAAGTACCTCCATCCTTAATATCTCTATATCGAATAATCCAGATAAGATTATTCCATTTTTAATGTTGATGGACCGTACTAATAATATTTAATTATAGATTACAACTATAATTAATAATTATGATTTTTTTTAGATTATTGTCCATAACTCAATCCTCTTGTATATAATTATATACTTAATTATGGTTACATAAATAATCATGGAATAAAAAATATTATATCAAATGATAATATTGATACATGCTAAACTTATTATTAAATATTTATTTCTATAGAAAATATATTACAATAATATTTCTTTAGGGCACATTCCCTAATAATTTGTGGATATAAACATAGGAAATTCATTAAAAGATTTTTGAAAGAATTTTTCAAAGAAAGTTTATTTGTGGGTAAAATTTCAATAAATAGTTTATAGGACTTTTGAAGTCCATCACTCTTGATGCTATTCTTTTTATTTATTTTTTTATTATTTTTTTATTTTTTATTTTTTTTACTCTTGATGCTATTCTATTGATTACATATGTGATAATTAGGGTTACCTTTTTTTAGACGTCTTTCAAGAGTTGATAAATTTTCATTTCTATCACTCCATTTCATTAGATAATATTAAGATAGGAGGATTAGTAAATGACACATTCTTCTCGGAAGAAAGATGATAATATGTGATTAAAATAATCATTTACATTATCAATTTGAAATAGCTTAAGGTTAACATGAAATTCTTTTTGTATAAAGGCAATAAAAATGAGGAGAATAATGCTGAAATCAATTTTTTGCATGATAAATACCCATGTCATCCACGTCAATCATCAATGAAGTTAAATTTGTCCATGCTCATTGCACCTTAGAGAAAGTTGGATCCAAATTTGTTTATGGGAGACACTTGACTCTGCTGATAGGTTTTAGAGGGTTAGAGATTGAAGAATTAAATGAGAAAATGTACAAGTGTGGAGTGAAAGAAATAAACTCAAATATAGATATCAATAATGTAAACATCATGACGTCCAAAATATATCTCTTTATCTGATTTATAGGGTTAAGAGTGCTTTATAAAAGACTACAATTAGAAAAAAATAGAAATATAATATATAATGTACTGATTGGCATTTACTAACACATACATGTAGATTGAGCTGATTGAGATGGACATGGCCATTTGTCTCTAACATGGTTGTCTAACAAGTACTCTAGATGAGTTTATGAAAATGCTAATGCAGGGTGAAACTAGGAAGGCAACTTCATAGGAATGAGTGGCGAGCCTTCACGAGTAAATGGTGAGTCCCCTGGGTGGTATTGGTTGTGAGCTAGGGACAAATTCAATCATGAAATTACAGTCGTAAGCTTTATAGATGTGAAGTTCTTGTAACTTGTTATGAGAAGTCTACGTAATGTGGGTGCCCTTGATTGTAGCTAATTATTGTGAGAAAACGTAAGTACTTCTCAGGGTGTAGAATTCTGAAGACAAGTGTTTTGAATGGACTTGTTCAGAATGAGTTTGTCATATATTTGACCCCTCTAAGGGCAAATTCATATGTTGATATAATTTTAATTAAAAAAAAAAAGTAGACTATGATCACATATATCATATAATTTTAAAAAAAAATTAAGATGAGTAGGTTATTAAAAAAGTTGAAGTTTATATCATATTCAAAATTTTTCCTCTGCTCTAGCTCTATAATCTCCATCAGTGATTCGAGTCAACTCCGTCCCACCCAATTCTAGAGTCCAGCTTACCAAACAACAAGATCTCGACGGCGACCTACCACCCAACCGAGCAATTCTATCCTTCTCCTTACCGGAGCTCTAGCGTCGCCGCAGCTTCTTAGTCAAATGCCCCTGGTCAGTGTGTCATTTGCCCGTTCCTCAAAACCCTAGACCAAGGGCATTTTGAGCTAGATATGGGCCGAGATAGGGAATCAGCCGCCGCGGCCGACGCCGATGGTCGGGGTGGGCGAACAGAGCTGAATCGGCCGAGATACGTGACACTCCCGATCATATTGGTGTTCGCCTTGATCGGGTATGTCTACTACGTGACTGTGTTCTGTGTGATAGAGGATTGGTTAGGACTGAGGACGGCTTCGGGATTGGGGAACGCTGCCACCTTTACAGCGTTCGCGATTATGTGCCTCACCACTTACGCGATTGCGGTTCTCAGAGATGCGGGCCATGTCCCTTCGTCCTTTTTGCCCGACATGGAAGATCCTCAGGTCGTGGTCCACGAGATCAAGAGGAAGGTGCGTGTTGCTAGCTTAGATAGTTAGATTCATCGTTCTTGCTGTTTGGTTATACAATAGAATGTACCTGTAAAAATACAATATCTCGCAGGGGATGTAGGGAGCTTTATAAATTTATCAGATATTTCTTGTGGATCTTACTTATTGATGCTAGATCTCCGAAGTGCAATGTACAATGTTATCCGAGAGATCTGAGGTGTCTGCTCTTGGAAGATAAAATGAAGATTCATTAAATGCTATAACATCTCTAACGCTAGGAATCATCGTCCATAAATGTTGTGAATTAATTTGTTTATTGTAATGATCATCCATCAATGAATTCTCACCGTTTTTGTGTATTTGATATCATTTATGGCAGTTGCTTAGTATTCTATTGGGAAGATTTGCTATGGTAAGCATTATCCAAAGTGGCTTCTGTGTTTCTGAGAGTTTTTTTTAGAGATAGATATTGATATATTTTCCCTAGAGTTTTTTTATAGGATTTCTTTGGAAGTTGAAATGTTTCAATATTAGCGCTTTCTAAACTTTATCTTGATTTGACACATGTAGAGTTATGATGCATTTCAAGACTTGTGACGAGGAAATATCCTTTGTCTCCTATTTTGAAATTTTATAAATTTGATATGTTTCAATATGCTCTCATATGTCTTCCTCATTAGTTTCTATTCTTTTTGCCTTTTTTATTAAATCTCCTGCAAGATGAAACTTTCAAAGTTTTTCCCTTTTTAAAATTTCAATCAAATAGATTGTAAGAAGCCGCACGACTATATAAGAGTCTCTTGCTCAAAATACTCTTCAATCATTGCTAGTTCTATACTATTGTTACTATTGTTTAGACAAAGAATGAACATGAAATAATTGTTCTTAAAATTGGATCTTTAGAATGTAAAACTTTTGGAAAAGAGAAGGGCTTAGTTCAAAAGTAGATGTCTGAAATTTAGATTCCGATTCTTAAAGATGTTATCATGTTAATGAAATCAACACTATATTTTTAAGGATTTTGCTTCTTTTCATGAAAATCATTTCACTTATGCATTAGAACTACTTGCAAAAAAATGGCGATGATCAGGATATAAATGATCAAGATGATTAAGGAGCTTTCCCTACTGTTCCCTTTAGTGTTGTCATGGATGTTGTCATAGAGAGCATGGTTGTACACGGTCTTGCTCTATTGGTGGAGTAGAAGAGCCTTCTGTAGAAGTATATTGTAGGGATGAAGAACCTTCTTTAGTTCATAAAGCTTGCTGTTTGTTGTTGTAGTTCATAAGGCTTGTTGAATCGGTTATTTTCAATAAGCTAAAGGAGGTTGAAGCTTCTACTATTTCTGTGAACCCTTGTCTAATTCCTATAGCTGTAAGTATGGATGGTTTAGAGAAGAATCTGAATCTCTAGCATTGTTGTGGACACTCTCATAAAGAGCATGAACATCTACACTCTTTCTCTTGGTCAAATAATTTAAGAGTTTTATGTATAAGCATATCGTTGGATTTTTTAATAAGGCGAAGAAGGTTGAATCTTGTAATGTCCATGTAATCCCTTATCTGGTTCCTCAAGTTGCAAGCATGGATGGCTTAGAAAAGAAGTTGGATCTCTAGCATTTTCGTGGATGTTGCCATAGAGAGCATGAATGTCCACACTTTTGCTTTGTTGGTGAAGGAGTAGAGAGTCTTTTGTAGCAGCATATTGTAGAACTGAATAACCTTCTTTAGTATTGTAAGTATACTGTAGACCTACAATGCTTTATGGTGCGTAATGTTAGCTAATAAAAGAGAAGCATAAAATTAGGATAAATATTTCAGGGATAAGGATGCTTAGGTGGATGAGTTTCTTTACACTTGGAGACAGATTACGAAATGAGTTTATATGTAAAAAGGTTGGAGTAGCTCCAGTGGCAGATAAGATTAGAGAGAGTCACCTCAGATGGTTTTGTCACATTAAACATCGAGAGTAGATGTATTAGATGCTGTCTATTGTTGACTGTAACTGCTCCCTACCGACATACACGACACAACCGACACCGATCCCGCGAACCGTCGCCTCTCACGACATAAAAAAAATGCTCCTCCCATTCGGGAGATGGCTCTTTCCCTCTCTATTATATATAATATAATACATATGTTATAATATAATATTATATATATATAGTATTATATTATATATGTTATATTATATATAAGAGAGATAAAATATTATATGTAATAAAATAAAATAAGAGAGAAATAGAGACGGAGATAAATAAAAAGATTTTCAAACAGGTGTCGAAGACCCCGGCCGTCGTACCTTAGGTCCGGCTGGGATGGTTCCAAATTGAAGACCTGCGCTGTTGATTTTTAATCCGGGCAGATGGTTTTAAAATTTGAAGACCTCACGCAGTCGATCTTAAATCATGGTGAGATGGTTTGAAATTGAAGACCCTACGCCGTCGACCTTAGGTCCGGGTAGGAAGAACTATGGCAGTGCCGTCCCAATTTCTCCCTCGGTGGGGAGGAGACGCCGGGAGGCTGCCAAAATTTTCTTAAAAATTCGGGACTTAGAAAAATATTTTGGACTTATAAGAAATTTGGAACAAAATAAAGAAGCTCCGACACAATTATTATATCACTTTAATTGATTACAAAATGAATATATATATGGTGATAAAAAGAGACCACACTAATGAAATTCATATGATTGAAGCAGAGCCAACACTTGTAAATACAAGAGATCGGGATGAAGATAACCTAACAAAATTTATGATAATTTGAACAATGAGTTAGAAGCTTGATGATAGTTCAGGAGAAAGCTGTGCTTAATCAGAAAATGAAAGTTAAGTTCAAACATAATCTCAAGTCAAAGGTAAACGAAGAGCAAGAACTAGTGATTAGTATCATTCAATGAGAATGAGAATGTGATTATGTCTTGAACTACAATTATAAAATGAAGAGAGGGAGACTCTCAATGGCATATCAAAATTAGAAATTCATAATGATATAAGGCATAATTATGAGAAATTTGCAATATGATCATTGAAATTTTATGTTTGAAAGGATTGTGGAGACTAAAGAAAATACATTGCAATACTAACAAATATACGACCATTGGTCCGATAAAATGACAAAAGTTTGAATGATCACCAAAAAGACAAGGAAATGTTTGAAATGTCAGGAAAATATATTTTCTTAAGCAAAATTTATCAATTTAACATGCCACCGGATCCGCAACATGTGTGCAAGAGGACAGAAGGCGTTCGTAGGCCCTTAAATGAAACCCCGGGTTATTTTCTAAGCAAAATCACTTGCACAGTGGATCATGTTTAAATAATTTAAAATGCCCCCCTAATGTATTAAATATGATCTCTAAAACTAAAAAACATCCTGCATGTGCTCCGACAAATGTTTTAAAGTTATAAATATAAATGTCTGAGAATGCTGCGCAGGGTCAAATGATATAACCCGCATGTGCTCCGATCGTCGAATATAAATGTTAAATCCAACGATCCGAGAATGCTGCACGGGTTAAATATTCAAGTTTCATCCTCCTCGAAAGGACTGGAGTCGACACGACTTGAATAATAAAATGCCTCTCAAAATCCTACTAAAATACAAATGATTTTAAAATCACCCCGATGATGGCCGTGTTGATCGGAAATCTCAATCGGAGGGGTTAAATCTCAAATCAAATAAAAGTCTAAATTCTTGAAATAAAATCAATCACCTAAAAAACTCAAAACTAAAAATCATCCACCTCTCGCAACCATTTGTCGGGGGTGATAAATTTGAAATTAACCTCAGCTCACAAAGAGCAAATGTTGTGTCGGATGTATCACTACGATTCATCCTCAAAATAGTCTCTTGCCAACAGGGACGTGGCACGTGCCCTCTAATCGGGTGATTTTGCCGCAAAATCACCCGATTATATTACGATCACGACCAAAGCTTGTATGTTCCCTAAAGGCGTCAAACCCTTGAGTTATGAATCATAGGGTATATTCGATAGGCATAAAGCCCTCTGTGAGCTAAGGTGGATTCAGATATATCCCCTTAGATAAATATCAACCCAGGTTTACAAGGTATTCTTGGACGAAGCAACCCATGACTGCCAATAAGGTGCCTTCTGTCAGGTTGGGTCGACTACCTCCTCTGACTAAGTAGACCAGGGATTATGACAGCCCGGGACGACGGAACCATGGGATCTTGATCGGACTCGTCTTCATTCCCCCCACAACCAGTTTTAAGTTTATGGTGATAAACTCTAAATTTCAAATTTCAAACTTCCAAATTCCAAACTTTAAAATTCAAATCATAATATCAAACCCTAAATTTGTTGCTATTATACGATAGGTTTATAACCTATTCGACCTCTTTTAATGACTAGCCTTAATCGAAAGTTCTCTCTCGTTATCGGGAGGGGTAATTAACTATAGGGGCTTGCGCCTATAGGAAACCAGAACTCAGATCAAAAAGTCCTCACCAAATGAGGGCGAAATCTCTAGGTAGTGTCTTATCTAAAACCCAATCTGCCTTCTGAAAATTCCCCCGGAACCTAATCTAGTTAAAACTCTCTGCCGTCATCGTCACACTTAACAGAAAAATAAACCGATGGCGCAGAGAGGCCGGGAGATCACATATAAAATGGGAATTTTTCAAAGCCCACATCTATGTTAAAAAAAAGTAAGGATACATAAAAAGGTTGGAGTAGCTCCGATGGAAAATAATATTAGAGAGAGTCGCCTTAGATGGTTTGCTCACAAAAAAGATCAGTCTTTTGATGACCCTTTTATGAGAGTAGATGTATTAGATTCTTGCTATGTTAAAAAAGGTAGAGATAGAACTAAAAAGACTTGGTCATAAAATATTAGAAATGACATTTCTTATTATATTTAAATGAGAATTTGACTCTTAATAAGATACAATAGATAAAAAAGATTCATGTATCCTATCCTATGTAGTGGGATAAAATCTTGATATTGTTGTTATTGTTGTTGTGGTATTGTAAGTATGGATAGCGTAGAGAAGACGCTCAATGTCCACAATGATGAGCTGTACGCTTCGATCACAAAAGTGGAGTTCCATGGATCTTATTTTAAAGATATAAATAAGGGATTTTTTCGTGCTTGATACCAAGCTAAATGATTTGAATTATTATTTTGATTATCAAAAGTGCAAACTTAGCAATATAAAGAAAAGTTATTGTGAAAAGTTCCAAAAGCTTGATTTTTGGAATTGGATGAAGGCTAACAATCTGCAATCAAACATATATAATGTGTCAAGTCTCGGGTACCTCCATCTCAAGATGCTTCTTGGCTCCAACATTCTAGCTCACTATCTTAACATGCTAGATCAAATTAGAATGATGGTGGCCAGATACAATTTTCCTATGGTGCCATTGTTGAGAGTTGAAGAGTTTGCTATTGTTGATTGAGAGAAAGATGAGGTGGTCAAGGAAGAAAGACATTCCTGTCGGTCGCAGAAGTCGAAGAGCCTAAAGGACGCCTGAGATGGTAGCCAATAGAGAAGTTATCTGAGTTGACATCAGGTTGGGCATTCCGTCGTGCTATTTTCATCGCTCGTAAGAGGGATGTGTAGTATTCTTCATTTTGAATTTTTTCCTTTTTAATTTTTGTTGTATTCTTTTATTGAAGCCTAAAGGACGCCTGAGATGGTAGCCAATAGAGAAGTTATCTGAGTTGACATCAGGTTGGGGCATTCCGTCGTGCTATTTTCATCACTGGTAAGAGGGATGTGTAGTATTCTTCATTTTGAATTTTTTCCTTTTTAATTTTTGTTGTATTCTTTTATTGAAATAAATGAAATTTATTGCACAAGCTATGTGTACTCTTACGTCTATCATTGTGATTGATTAGGTGTGTTTATACACTAAATATTTTAGTGATCATTAGCAAGATAAATTTTATGAGGTTAGAAAGCATGCATGAATCTTAGTTATCGTGATTCAATTCTTTTGAGAGGAGCTATTCCGTTGTCTACTCGGGAGATATGTTAGTTGTATTATAAATACCATAATGATAATTCTTTGAGATTTGCTAAAATTCCTTAAGACATTGTTCTCTCTTCAGTCCAGATTTCTGCTCATCACTTTTCTTGGATTCAAATTTGTGTAATGATGACAATTTGAAGAACAATAATTGTAATGCTTTAGCTTTTGATATCGTAGTGAAATATCACTTTTAGGTCTTTTCATATATAAGATGTTTGGATGCAGAACTTTTTTTTTACTTGCTTTCATAATTCCTTTGATGTGAAACTAAATGCGATAAACAAGAATTACAATTAAGATATTAATAGAAGTGATGAACTTTACTTTGCTACCAATAACTCTTTGTTTGCTCAAGTTAAAGCTTAAAAAAAAAATATGGCGCTGAAAGATTAAGTAATAACAATTGGTTACAGCCTATGTTGCACCGATACACCTATTTATGAAGGCGTGCTGTATCCGATACACCGATACACGGATACGCTTCCGATACTCCACCGATACGTGTCGGATACACCAAAGACGTATCCAATTAAAATACTATTTAATTTCAAAAGGACACGCGTATCCGATACACATGTCCGTTGAAAAACAAAAAGAAATCCGAAAAAAAAAAAAGATGCGTCGTATTTACTTCCGCGGCTGCGAGCAAAGTTCTCTCATTATGTGCTAGACAATTTATGTTTATGCTTTTGTTGTTGCACTAGACATTTAATGCTTATATTTTGATATTATAAGCTACAAGGCTACAAATGATGTTGTTGTCATTTTTTTTTTTGTAATTTAAAATATTATGCTTTGATTGCTTTCTTAATTTTTATGTATGATTTATAAATTATGATGCCGTGTCCGCGCCGTACATGTATCATGTATTTTTAAGAATTGACGATGCCCGTATCCGTATCGTGTCGTATCCGTGTCGCTGTATCCGTATCGGTGCAACATAGGTTACAACTTGAGATTAGTTGGACTGGCAAAATAACAACCAAGACTAGTAGGTAATGCAAATAGCAATTGTAACACAAGCCTCAAATTTAAAATCTAGATCATTCACCTAGAGAGCTTGCACTCAATCTCTTGAAAGTGGAGGCTAGTGGAGGAGAATTGCAAGCACACTTAAGGATGCCACTATCACACAAGTGACGCCGAGGGGACTAGTTGCTGGGGAAGAAACCGGAGTTGGAGAAGTAAGCGGTCGTCCGATAAGAGTCCACGGAGTTCTTGGTCGTTGAAGCTCGATAGTCTCAGCGAGACAATAAACGATGCGGTTGACGTAACGTTCAATCCGGCTCGTAGAAGGGAGAGAGGAAGATGTTGATCTCTCCTTGGGCGTTGTAGGCAAAACCGTGATCAACTTATGGATTCGCCATGCATTTTTGCCGGGAGATGAAGGAGCACCGATGGAAAGAAGAGGGAGAGGAGGTGGCGGCTTGGAGGGAGATGGTTTTGAGCCGGCTTGAGGGGTTGGAGGGGGGTCGGCTAGGGTGGGAGGCCAAGAGACAAAAGCAGAAAATCTGAAATTCCTTCAGATTTTAGTGGGTTGGGAGGGATTTAATTTGAAATTTCAAATTAATCCAAAAGGGGAGAGGGGCGGCAATGGGGAGGGGATTGGGGGCTGATTATGTGGGGGGAATTGGAGTTAATTTGTTTCAAATTTAAGATTCCAAGGGGGTTTGGGGGGGGGGGGTGGAGTCCGGCAACTGGGTGGTTGGTGGGCGGTGGCCGGCGGCAAGGGAGGGTATAGGGAGGGGAAAACCGATGCCAGAAGAAATAAGAGAAGAAAATGGAAAAGCTAGGTAGCTACAAACCTCAAGTACCACCTCCTTTAGAGCTCACAAAGTGATCTTGGAAATCTTATGAACTCACAAAGAGATCAACAATAAGAAAATTTCGTTCATCAACCAAACATTACAATGCATGAGGCCTCTTTTAAATAGGCCAAGATAAGACAAAACTAAAAGACACAAATGCCCTCAGGGCTACACAAGCGACTAAATACCCACAGGGGTAAACTAGGAAAATAAAATGCAAGAATAAATAAATATAAAATAAATTAAAAATAAAGGCCCTGGATCGTAGCCGTCGATCTGCGTCTCCTATGATTGTACACGTGTCAAAATCTGATGTCCTCATCATCCTTTTTTTTTTGCTCTCGTCTTTCCTAGGGACTTATGTTTAGCGCTTGAATTTTTCATTCCTCAACATTACTTCGAGAAGATATCTGTTTAAAAAGGTGATACCAAGGGGTAATGCTTTACTTTCACAAGTGGCTTCTCCTTCGTTGCTTCTCTAGCAAGCACTACAAATACGAAAGGTTTGGAAAGACTGAAGGCTTGCTTCAGAGAGAAGAGCGAAAAGCCAAACAGTACCTATGAGAAGATTGACATTTGCTTATTTGAATGGTATTTTTAGATAAGATTGGATATTCCATTCAATGAATAGCTTAACGATATATTGATGACCTTTCATTTGGCTCAACTTTCCCAGTATGCTTTTGCTAATCCTGAGGGGAATGGGATGGTTGTTCAAAGAGTATGACATTCTTTTTATTTGTGCAGCAGTTTATGTAATATGCTTCTTCTCTACTAGACCTTCTCAACTGCTGAGAGTTGAAGGATTGCTGTCTTCCAACAAAGGTTGGGGGAAGAATCACTTCTTTGTAAAATCTGACAAGGGCTGGGAATATTCGACTTCACCAAAATTTGCCATCGCTGAAGCATTTGAGATGAGAGAAAAATACTGAAAATGAAATAGAATTTCTCTCCTCTCCCTCTCCTTTTTTTAGCAAGTGTTATCCTCCACAGAATTAAGATAATATTTTAGAGACTGGATTAGGTACAATACATTAAGATTAGAGGCGTTTATTGTTTTCTTAGTAGAATGGCTTTATACAGTATCAGTCTAGGAACATAAATTTAATGTCAGATTTACAACTTATATATAATTCTAAGCATTGGAAATTTATTCTCTTAGGCAACATTTACTAATTATTTCAGGGTGGAGATTTGAGATACTGTCAGAAATGTTCCCACTACAAGCCTCCACGAGCTCATCATTGTCGTGTTTGTAAAAGGTGTGTTTTGAGGATGGTATGTACTTCTACAACCTTGAAGAGTTTTTTGTCATTATCATAATTTATTGTGGTTTCAAACGTTCTTTATATGTTCACAGGATCATCACTGTGTCTGGATAAACAATTGTGTTGGCCATGCAAATTACAAGGTTTTCTTTGTTTTCATGCTATACACTGTAATTGCTTGCATCCACTCATTGGTATGTGTTTCTTTCTTTTCTTTAAGATATCGCCCTTCCATCATGTAGCAAGCTGATACGCATGTACCTTGTTCCAGGCTCTGCTTCTTGGATTTGCTTATGATGTCCATAAAGGTCAAATACACAGTGGTGGCTCTCTAAAGACTTCGCATGTAACTTACTGTGCGGCTATGTATTGGATTATTTAACCTGTGAAGGCTTCCTAACTTATTGAATATATGCATTAGCAGATCATCTATGGAGTTCTGCTATTCCCATTAACCCTTGCAGTTAGCATACTTTTGGGATGGCATATCTACTTGGTCGCACAAAACAAGACGACAATAGAGGTTTCTACGACTTTGAATGAAAACCTTTTAAACGTTATTTGTAGAATAATATGTCTGTTGTTTCCTTACTTCTAATAAATTTTGTCAGCATTATGAAGGAGTAAGAGCAACGTGGCTTGCAAAGAAAGCTGGGAATGTCTATGCACATCCTTATGACCTTGGTACATATGAGAATCTCGTACTGGTAAGTTCAATGTGATTTCTTGGCTTTTGCCGTTTTGTAAACCTGAGGATGTTGAATATTGTAGAAAGTGACGACACACCAAGAGGAGAAAATGCTAGAATACCTTTAGATGAGCAGAAAGGCGGATTTCTATTTCTGTGTAATACATTGTTCAATACAATTTACTGTGATAGTTGTGTGTATTTATAGATGTAGGGATCTACACGTGTAGAGCTATGATTAGCTGAGTTTGTTATAGACTAACGTCTTGGCATGTGGACATGTGCAGAGCTAACATCCACATGTGAGTTGTTGCTGAGCTAGCCTCCGAGCATGTGAGCAGTTGCTGAGAAATGTATCAGGTGATTTTTACGCCCCCACAAACTGACAGTGGAAGAGATGTAACTGTTAGTTTGGATCTGAGATCTTGAAACCTGGAGGTTGGGAGCGATTTGGTGAGAATATCGACGATTTGGTCTGTTGTGCTGATAGGTACCACGGTGAGCTCCTTGAACTGAATGTGATCTCGTATGAAGTGGAAGTCCACTTCAATATGTTTGGTGCGAGTGTGGAATACCGAGTTGTTGGCGAGAGCGATTGCGGACATGTTGTCGTAGTTGAGGATGGTCAGCCGAGTTTGTGGAGTGTGGAAGTCCTAAAGAAGACACCTGAGCCATATTCGACTGCCGCAACTGCTAGAGAGCGATATTCTTCCTTGGTCAAGGAGCGAGCTACTGTTTGTTGCTTCTTCACTGTCCATGAAATAACAGTGGTTCCAAGGAATGCGCAATATCCTGAGGTGGAGCAACGGGTAAGAGGATCAGTGGCCCAATCGACATCTGCAAATGCCGTGAATGTGAGGTCTGATTTGGAGATGGGAAGGTCATAGTTGGCGGTGCCTTGGAGGTAGTGGAGCAGGGGTTTAAGTAGGTGAAAATGTTGTGACAGAGGACAATGCATATGTTGGCATAGATTCAATTGCGGGCTGTGTGGATCTGGGAGGGTTTTGAGTGAGCGGACGTCCTCTATTGGAGGAGTTAAAACGGCCATGCCCACGACCCCTATTCCGACTGGTGTAGAGAGCGGTAGTGAGATTATGTACTTAATGATCTTTGGCATATTCTATGGCAAGGTTTGTTTCTTCACTTAGAAGCAGTGAATTAAGATCTTCGAGGCTAACCAAAGGCAGTTTGGTGCATATAGATGTCTTGAAGGCCTGATATTGCGGTGGTAGGCCGTTTGGTAGGCCGTTGAGAGTGTATAGTAGGATGTCTTCACTGTCGATGGAGCAACCGGCGGCGGCGATGTTGTCAACAAGAGTCTTGACGTTGGTGAGATATTGGAGCATGGTGAGTTGGCCCATGGATATTTGATGCAACTCGTTTTTGAGTTGTATCACTTGTGATATGTTTGAAGCTTAAAGACGACGTTCAAGCGTGCTCCAAATGTCGGCGCAGGTGTCTAGATGGAGAACATAAGGAAGAATGCCTGCCATGATAGTTGAACATAGTGCAGCTGTGAGATTTTGGTCGATGAGGGTCCAACGAGTATAAGCAGCATTAGGTTAGGAGGTGCCGCTGGAATCAAGCTATAGGTGGGGAGGAGCTTGAGAGGATTTATCGAGAAATCCTTCATAGTTGTTTGCTCTAAACAACTTAAGAATTTGGGATCTCCACATGGAGTCTTTATCATTGGAAAGCTGAATAGGGACAATGGTTTTGATGTTAGATATGGGAAATTTGAGGGATGAGGGAATGGTGATGTCTTCGGATAGATGTTCCGTAGATGCATCTTGAGTGTGGGAAGAAACAGAGGTTTTCATATGGGGATTCAAAGGGCTGTGAGCCAAATTGGCTCTGAGACCATGTAGAAAGTGATGACACAACAAGAGGAGAAAATGCTAGAATGCCTTTAGATGAGCAGAAAGACAGATTTCTATTTATGTGTAATACGTTGTTCAATATAATTTACTGTGATAGCTGTGTGTATTTATAGATGTAGGGATGTACAGGTGTAGAGCTATGATTAGCTGAGTTTGTTATAGACTAACGTCCTGGCATGTGGACATGTGCAGAGCTAACGTCCACATGTGAGCTGTTGCTGAGCTAGCCTCCGAGCATGTGAACAGTTGCTGATAAATGTATCAGGTGGTTTTTAAATATGTTGTTGCTTGTTTTCCAAGACTAACGATCTGCAACTGTAGTCTAACTGCAAAAACTTGGATCATTTTCTTGCCCAAAACATGTTGCACTGAACTTTTTTTTTCCCTCTGTGTAGAAGTTTAAAGTTTTGTTTGAAAATCTTTTTAGTCAAAGTGTTTGCTAGATTTGAGCAATGTAGTAGAGCCCGCTTATAATGACAAAAAAAATGAAAGCAACATCATTTGTAGCCTTGTAGCTTATAATATCAAAATAAAAGTAAGCATTGAGTCAATGGAAGAGTTAAAACTCATTGCCTAATAATAATTTTATGGCATGATTCCACTAATTATGTTGTTGCATGATTTGGTGGCATGTTTATTGAATAACATATAAGAGCTAAACTTTTTTTTTTTCCATTTAAGAAGACATACAAACCACAATAATAAGATTTTTTAATACATGAATAAAAAATCAAAGCATTACAATTGCAAAATAATTGATGCACTAATATCATATTTTCTAGTAAACTAACATCAATGTAAATGGCTCGCGGGTTCCAAACTATGAGAATCTCACTCGCAGCCTCGGAAGTAAATATGACGTATTTTTTCGAATTTTTTCTCATCTTTCAACGGACACACGTATCTAACACGCGTGTCCTTTTGAAATTAAATAATATTTTAATTGGATAAGACTTTGACGTATCCAACACTTATCGGTGCCATATCGGACGCGTACTGTGTCCGACACATCCAACACAGCACGCCTTCATAAATAGGTGTATCGGTGCAACATAGGCACATAGCTACAGAGATATCAAAGAATTCCGACAACTATAAGTGTCTGCAAAGCGCTATAAGAAACTCGTCGACCTGTTGTGATGCGGACATCGGCACGAAGATTTGACGCATCTATCACAGGAGGCGTCGTAAATCGACGGCTATAATTTAAATTGTCATTTATGAGTTATTTTCTGAATTTTAGCTCTTATTTTATGTTATTTCCTGTTTTACCCCTTGGTTAATTTATGTGAGTGTTGTGGCAATTTTATAATTTTGAGTTTTTCTTATGTTGTGGCCTATATATAGGGCCTTAAGCTATTGTGATGGAGGAAGAATTGATATTAAAATTTGTGTCCACACTTGTGTTCTTTTGAGAGAATGATAGTGAGATTCCTATGAGAAGGAATTGGAGCTTTCACCAGCCGCAGGATGGGTCCGGGTTTGTGACTTGAAGTCCCTTGGAGATGGGCAAAGAATCACCCGTCTGTCTTTGGAAGAGTCCAAGGCTCGCGGTTTTTATCTTCTATATTGTCTTCTATCTCTTGTTTTTATTTTGTTCCTTCTTATTTCCTCTTCCCCTTCCCCATTGCCAACCTTATTTTCCCCGTCCACCACAAACCGTCGTCTCCCTAATCCGGTCCCCCACCTTTTCCTCTTCCACTCCCACGGCATACTCCCCAAACCCGAACCCATGCCGCCGGCTCCACCTCATTAGCTGCTGGCCGAACCTTCCTCTCCACCCCTCTTTTTGGATTTCCTAATATGGTTGGGTTAATTTAGGGATTGATTTGAATTTGAAATTATTCAAATTCAAATTTCAAATTCTTTCCTAATTTAGTTCATCTATTTTTGGAAAGTGCTTAATTGAAATCAATTTGAAATTTTATATTCAAATCTGAGAACATTAAATCTCTTGCTTGGCCGAATTTTCCTCAAGCCCCACCTCTATTATTTCCTAAAACCTCCTTCTGAGTTAGGAAATAAATCCCTGGTTTTCCTCTCTCTCATGTACCCGCCGTTCTCCCTTTTGGAATTTCTGTTGGAAATCCCTCCTTTGTGCTTGATTTCCCTGTGAGAAAACTTTGGGAATTTTGACCTGCTGCTGGCCGAATTTTCCAAAGCTTCTCTCATTCACCCTTTTCCACTAAACCCTCTCCAAACTCCACCCAACACAGCAGGCCGAAATTTCCCTAGGTTCCCACTTTGGTTTTCTCCCCAACCTCTCTCTTTCCCGTTGGAATACTTCAAGGGAATTAAAACCACAAGACTTCTCCCTCTAATCCCCCTTGTTATTTTAAAATTCTGAGAACTTCCTTCAGATTTTGGAGATAAAATCTGGAACTGCTCTCAGATTTTGGAGAAGTGATTTTCACTCTAGCAATCCTCCTACCCGTTCTACATCATGTTGCCAGCGGAAGACCCCAATTATGGCATTAACGACGCAAAGTTAAATGATTTCATGAATGATTATGTAGAGTCAAAGAATGATCAGTTGAAAATGTGTTTCATCTTATCATCTCTATGGAGATATCGAAGACTTCGAACAACTGTGAGTGTCTGCAAAGCGCTGTAAAAAATCGTTGATTTGCTATCAGCGGAAGGCCCCAATCTCAACATTAGCCACGCGAAGTCGAATGATTTTATTAACAATTATGTAGAATTAAAGAATAAACAGTTGAAGAAGAAAATATGTCTCATTCTATTATCTTTTCAAAAAAGGCTAGGACTCAAAAAATATGCCATGTCGTTCAAGTAAAGACCTGGAGATCAAACCTCGCAACTCAGTGTCCCACATATGTATCATAGAATGGGCCCTTCGAGTACACTGTTCTGGGGCCGTTGGAGAAGCTTCTATGTACTATATGTATATAAGATACTAGATGTTGCTGAGACATAATAGATAACCTGATACTTTTCCTTGTTCATGCTTCGAGGAGAATACCTTATGGCTAACTGAAGACAAAGAGAGCCTTTGGACTCATCAACTTATGATACCTGTTCTATCACAAAACGATCCCATGTTGTTTAGATGTCTTTACCCAATCTAAGGATCAGTTGATTCGTCGATCGGATCTCCCGAAGAATGAGAAAAGAGAGTCTACATCAGAATAATGAAAGTACATCATGACTACGCTGAATATTAATGCTACAATTCATCTGTAAGCAAAAGCGGAGAATCAGTAGTAAAAATCACAGGTCGTCCACAAGCTGCAATGTCATGCCACCTGATTTGAAGTACTCGCACAAGCAAAAAGAAGATGTCAATAGAACTCGAAATAAATCCTCACGCATTTGGCAGTAGTAGTCACCTGTGTAGCCAACTGCATTTAAAAATGCAATACACCAATTTGCACTGCATGCAAATATTTTAAAATTCCCCTCATATATGCATTGCAGCATGCACAGAAAATCATCTAAACATACTATCCAGCATCGTGAGACTAGTTTAATTTATAACAAATGCATTGCATGTGCATGATAACATGGTGCATATTTACGTGTCATAACTTGCGGAATATGTTATACGGGCTGTGGGCTCCGAAAATTTCCATTTTGGGTGTGATCCCGGGGGAATTTTCAGAAGGCAGATTGGGTTTTAGATAAGACACTACCCAGAGATTTCGCCCTCATTTTGTGAGGACTTTTTGATCTGAGTTCTGGTTTCCTATAGGCGCAAGCCCCTATAGTTAATTACCCCTCCTGATAATAAGAGATAACTTTCGATTAAGGCTAGTCGTTAAGGATGTCACATAGGTTATGAACATATCGTATAATAGCAATAATTTTAGGGTTTAAATTTTGAATTTGGATGATTTGAAATTTAGAGTTTATCACCACAAACTTAAAACTAATGTTGGGGGGAATGAAGACGAGCCCGATCAAGATCCCATGGTTCCGTCGTCCCGGGCTGTCATATTCCCTGGTCTACTTAGTCAGAGGAGGTAGTCGACCCAACCTGACAGAAGGCAACTTGTCGGCAGCCATGGGTTGCTTCGTCCAAGAATACTGATAGGAAATACTTGATTCCAAGTATTTCCTAATCACTTTAGCCAAAGATCTCACAGCAAAACTGCTGTCCACAGCAGGAAATCAGCCAAACAGTGGGAAAAACACGAGAAAAATGATAGAAACACGAAGTACGAACTTGTATTTTACTAGAAGATGAAAGGAAAATAGCAAAGATACAAGGATCCTCTATTCGAGAGGAGGATCGCACTCTCCCAAGTCTCTAGAATACGATCTAGAGCCCAAATCAACAAGAAGAACAAGAGAAAACTTCAAAACAATCACATAACCCTAAACCACTCCATTACTCCCTACTTAATGCATACAATTCAAAATAGACACAAAAGGACCTAATTGCCCTCACTTCATCAGGGTGACATTAAGGTCACTTGTATTTTTGTAGAATTTTGAGAGGTATTTTATATCTCAAGTTATGTCGACTCCAGTCCTTTCAAGGAGGAGGATAAAACTTGAATATTAGACCAGCGCAGCATTCTCGAATCGTCGGATTTGGGACTTAGATATGACGATTGGAGCACATGCGGGTAATATCATTTGACTCTGCGCAACATTCTCAGACATTTGCATTTAGAAATTTATTGCATTTGTCGGAGCACATGCAGAGATTTAATTAGTGTAAGTGATCATATTTAATATATAAGGGGCATTTAAAAATATTTAAATATGATCAATTTGCGAGAGTGGTTTTATTTAAGAAATGCCCAAATTTTTATTTAAGGACCTACGAACGCCTTCTGTCCGCTTGCACACATGTTGCGGATCCGGTGGCGTATTAGATATGGCATTTATGAGCTTTGGTGCATCACAATATATTTTTGACATTAAACTCTATATTATAATGATGCCAATTAGCATATTGTTTCATCTAATTTTGCATAGAGTTTACATTTTATTTAAGTTGTTGTTGGATTTCTAGCAAACTCAATCATTTCCTTATCTTTATATATTCTTGAGACAAGGTATATATTTATGAATTAAAAGATTGATAGACTTTCTCAATTAAAGATTATCTCACAAATTCCAAAGCTATATATATTGAAGAAGTCAAAGGAGGAGTATTATAAGGCCAAGAAAAACATATATGTCAAAAGCCGATGAGTTTTAATTAACACCCTTAATAGAATTATACCAAGTATAATTTTATTACATGGGTAAGCATATTCCCATTCTGCCTTTCATTACTCTTATCGGTTGTCAAAGGGTTGACGAGAAGACTATTTTAAGAAGTTTGAGAATCTCTATTTTTTTATGACATTAATATCATTAAGGTATAATCATTGATAGTAGTAACTTTCATAATTGCAATATGGTAGTCTTTAACCTTCTTCAAAACAGTTTCAAGTTTCATTTTAATTCTATGCTGTCCAAATTGAGTTCAGGCGTCGGGGTTTGGTTCAGCCGGCGGCGTCGGGCCGGCGGCGGTCGGTTGGTGTGGTCGGAGTCGGCCGGCGTCAAGCGTTGAAGGCCGACGGGCTTGCAGGAAGTTCGGCCGGACTGGATGCCGAGTTAGAGTCGCACGAAGGAAGATGGCCAACGTCGATGAGTTCGGCTTCGGATGGGCTTGATCAAGGGCCGGCTAAGGCAGATGGATGCTAGAGAGGATTTGATTGAATTCGACGGGAGCAGATTGAGCAGATCTAGGGCACGACCGCGCACTTCGTTCGTCTTCGGTAAGTTTCCGAAAATCCTTTTCTTCCCTTTCCTTCAGTTTAGAGCCGTTTGTATGTGCGCTCCTCAACCGGACGAAAGGAGCATTTTTTATGTCGTAAGTATGTCGGTGGGCGAATTGTTGTGTCCGATCGGGTATGTCGGTGGGGGAGTCGGTGGTATGCAATTACAGTCAACACGGGCATGTTGCCCAAGATTGCAAGTATATTTCAAAATGACCTCCGATATGTATTTGTACGTTGCCGAGGATTTCATTCTAGCATGTCGTCTCGATATTGCTATTGCATTCTCAAAATAACCTAAGACACGTATCGCTAGGATGTTGATGATTTCATTCTAGCGTGTCGTCTCGATATTGTATAGCATTCTCAAAATAACCTCAAGCAATGTTGCTATTGCATTCTCAAAATAACCTAAGGCACGTATCACTAGGATGCTGATGATTTCATTCTAGGGTGTCATTTCGGCATCGCTATTACATTTCAACGTGACTTCCTGCACGTAACGCTAGGATGTCGAAGATTTCATTCTAGCATGTCATTTCGATATCACTATTGCATTCTCAAAATAACCTCAGGCACATATTGTTAGTTTTTTTTTTTGTAGACGATAGTCATTCCTTAAATTTGCACACCCCGACATCAGTAATTATGCAATTTTCTAGCAAATCTATAAACACAGCTATCATGCTCAAACAATTTTTAGCCTGCCATGATTCTCTTTATATGGTACACGAGTAAGTAAAAGCCGTGCTGCAGGTTATCAAAAATAGCTTCTTGCTCATTAACAAATGGTGCTCATTTCGCTAAGATGTTCATGTTCGGCTCGATTGTTAAAGTGAACCGAGCTTGAACAAATATTTAGAGCTTATTTTCTTTTACGAGCCAAATACAAACATGACCATGTCCGATTGTATATATCATAGCTTAATTGTTGTATATTTTTAAGATAAATGGATTCATAATATATTTTTATGCTTGATCTTAAGTTTGATCGCATTCCTTCCCAGGTGCTTGGATCTAATATTCTCTGCTGGATTTGTCCCACATCAAGCCACATCGGTTCTGGTCTCCACTTTCCCTCATCTTATCACAGCAGGCTTGAAACCATGCCAAGATAACGGCGAATTATTACGTCCGGCATCCGAACCGTCCGGAGGCAAATCCGGACGCGCCACGTCACTCGCCACATAGATCTGCTGCCTCTGAGGACACTCGTTGGATTTATGACCGAGCTGGAAACAACGAAAACATTTTAATGTCGACGGTTTGGCGTATGGATTGTCTCTAACGGGAGTCTTCAATTTTGGCTGATTTCGGGAATCAGTCGGAGTGTTACTGGGTGTAGCCGACGGTGCAGACGGTCCCACATTCTGTGTGGATTTGGCTACGGAGGTGCTCCCCTTTCCGGACACCAACGGTTCCTGCCAATGCCGTCGATTGTATGGGGTCCTATTTGGCCGATTCTGCTGCATCTCAATTTTCATCGCAAAATTGACAGCCTGGGCCATAGACCATACAGAACTTAATTCCAACCGATCCTGGATACTGTCCTTCAAACCTCCGATAAAACGAGCTACCAAATGATTATTGGATTCATTCAAATTATTTCTAGCGGCTAGGCGATGAAATTCTTCAGTATAATCACTCACCGTTCGGGACCCTTGACTGCAATGCTGATACCTCAAGTATAGTATCTGTTCATAGTCTGTAGGTAAAAATTGAGCCTGTAGCAGTTGTTTCATGCGCTGCCAGCTGCGCACTCTTCCTTTACCTTCCCTTTGCCTCATCTGAATGATTTGTTCCCACCAAGCACTTGCACCACCCTTTAATCTACAGGCGACATACCTCACCTGTCGATCCGCCGAGACTTCCATATATTCAAAGAAGTTTTCCACGGCCTTCTCCCAATCTAAATAATCCTCTATATGCATTCTGCCATCAAAATAAGGGATATCTAGTTTAGCTTTAAACTCACCGGGTTGAAATTGAGGAGGGGGCGGTCTCCGCCTCTGGTGGTGTTCATAATGTTGGTGATTCCCTGCATCCTCTTCAGCGGAATCTATGAATTCCAATTCTCTGTTGAACGGCATTTCCTCATCAGATTCCGAAAAATCCTGTATCTCCGCTGGAATGTGGCGACGTGGGGGAGGTCGATTTGCCGCCTGACCCCTCCGTCTCATGTTTCTGAGATCCTGATGTTCACCGTGTTTTGGTTGAGGCTGTGGTTGTCTCGTCTGTAGGAGATTGAACTCGCGACGCACCTCCACTGTAAGCCTCTGAATATCCGCCGATAGATCATCTAATCGCCGGTTGAGATTCTCCTGGTTTGCCCAGAGCGCGTCCACTCCTCGCGCTCCATCGGTGATGGGTTCCTTGCCGCGATCCGCCATGTTTCTTCTCAGGTGAGGCTCTGATACCAACCTAATGCAGCTGAAACTAGCAGCAACAAAACCAGCCCAGAAACCTGCAAGAAAGAAAACACAATGCAAGCACAAGAACTCCAATTCGCCCGGGTAGAGGCAGAACCCTGTATACTCAGGGGTTTTGTATTGAATATCTTCAAAAGAGTAGTAAAAGTATCAAAAGCTGCTTCCAGCTTCCTATCCGACCCCTATATTACTCAGATAACTATTTTTGTAAATTTAATTATAAAAGAAAATGATTAAAGCAAATAACTGAAAGTGGTAACAAAAGGGAGTGGCTGTCAGAATTCTGTTAGGATGGCATAAGATGTGCTGTAGGCTCTCCCGAAGCTAAGATGCACTGCATCAGTCCTCCCCTGCTTCAGTAGAGCTCGACTCCGACGAGCTATTGATCACCACTGCATCATCTGGTGGAGAGTAAGCCCAGATATCTGAAACATTAAAGGTCGACGACATGTTGTAATCTGCAGGTAAATCCACGATGTAAGCGTTGTCGTTGATCTTGGCGGTGATAGGTATAGGACCAATTTTTCTACGCATCAATTTCGAATACGTGCCAGGCGGAAATCTCTCCTTCCGAATACGAACCATCACCAAATCGCCAATGCTGAAGATACGTTGTCGACGGTGATGATCGGCAAACTCTTTGTACCTCTGATTAGATTTCAAAATGTGATTCCGCACCTCTGTGAGCATGTCCGTGTAGCTCCCGGAAAAGGACTCTGCCGCCAAAGATTTGCACTTGGGCAAGATGGCAATGTCGATTGCCAAATTAGGTGCTTTAGTATATACAATGTAAAAAGGGGATTTACCAGTCGAGCGGTTAGGCATTGAATTGTAGGCGAATTCTGCTCGGGTCAACACCTCTTCCCACTGTTTCGGATGATCTTGAACAAGGCAACGTAACATGTTGCCTAACGTGCGATTCACGACCTCCGTTTGTCCATCCGTTTGCGGGTGGTATGCTGAACTAAGGTTAATGTCCGTCCCCATGCGCTTCCATAGCTCACGCCAGAAGTGGCTGACGAACTTCACGTCTCGATCCGACGTGAGGCTTCTTGGTACACCATGTAAACGCACAATTTGATTAAAGAAAAGTTGAGCTATATTCAGGGCGTTAGAAGTTTTCTTACAAGCCAAGAAGTGCGCCATCTTGGAAAATCTGTCGACGACGACCAATATAGAGTCATGCCCTTGCCGAGTTCGGGGTAATCCCAAAATGAAATCCAAGCTGATGTCTTCCCATATCGAGTCGGGTACGGGTAACGGCATATACAGTCCTGTATTTTGAGCTCCTCCCTTATAAGATTGGCAGATCGGGCAACTGTCTACCAACCGAATCACGTCACGCCGTAGTCTAGGCCAGAAAAAACGAGCTTGAACAGTCTTTAAAGTTTTGTCACGCCCCATATGCGCGGCAAGACCGCCTCCATGAGCTTCTCGGACGAGGAAGAGGCGCCACGACGACACAGGAATGCAGAGTAAATTGTTTTTGAATAAGTACCCGTGTCGAATTGAATAATCGCCTTGTGTCTGTGATTCTTGGCAAGCTTTCCAGACTTCTTTGAAATCAGGGTCCTCATCATATAATTCTTTGAGACAATCTAAACCAGTTGTTTCAGCTTGCAGTCTTGTGAGGAGCACATTCTTTCTACTAAGAGCATCAGCTACCCGATTATTCGTTCCGGGCTTATGTTGGAAGGTGAAAGAAAATCTCTGAATAAACATAAGCCATCTCGCATGCATTCTGTTTATGGATCGCTGGCTATTCAGATACTGTAAAGCTTTGTTGTCACTACACAGAACAAAATCTTGATGTAACAAGTATAGCTCCCATTGTTTAAGTGCACGGATAATGGCATATAACTCTTGTTCATAAGCGGACCAATTCCGTCGAGCATCACTAAGCTTTTCACTAAAAAAAGCCACCGGTTTACCGCCTTGTGAAAGCACAGCTCCAATACCTATGGAGGATGCGTCCGTCTCAACTGTGAAAACTTTATCGAAATCCGGAAGTACTAATACTGGTGCTGAGATTAAGGCTTGTTTCATGGCTTCAAAACTACTCTGTTGGCGATCCCCCCACTGAAAGATTTTAGCCTTGAGACAATCGGTCACTGGAGCCATCAAAATACTAAAATTTTGGATGAATTTCCGATAATAGTTAGCCATCCCGTGGAAACTTCTGACTTCAAAGAACGACGTAGGCGTTGGCCAATCACGCACCGCACAGATTTTCTGAGGATCCATGTGAACACCTTCCGCGGATATAACAAAACCCAGAAAATGTACAGTAGGGACGGCCAGCTCACACTTGGACAGATTAAGGCATAACTGTTGCTGTCTTAGCACTTCAAAGAGAGTTTGCAAATGGATTACGTGACTGTCTAAACAGTTACTATAAACCAATATGTCATCAAAATATACGATGCAGATTTTGCCGATATATGGCTTTAAAACCTCATTCATCATCCTCATGAAGGTTGAAGGAGCATTGCATAAGCCAAATGGCATTACCTTCCATTCATACAATCCTTGCGGCGTTTTGAATGCCGTCTTCCACTCGTCACCGGGGCGCAGACGGATTTGATGATATCCGCTACGGAGGTCTAGTTTTGAGAAGATAGCCTCCCCAGTCAGCCGATCCAACAGCTCTTCAATCCGCGGAACGGGAAATATGTATTTGATCGTGATTTTATTGATAGCCCGACTGTCGACGCACATCCTCCATGTTCCATCCTTCTTGGGCACAAGCAATGCCGGCACTGCGCAGGGGCTCAAACTAGGTTGTATGAATTGTCTCCTTAATAAATCATCGATCAGATCCTGCAGGATAACTTGTTCTTTGGGATTAAGTCTATAATGTGGCAAATTGGGTAGAACGGCACCGGGTACCAGATCTATCTGATGCTGTATGTTCCGGAGCGGTGGCAGCTCATTGGGCAAGTTCTCAGGAACTATATCACCATATTGCTGTAGTAACTGTTGGACTCTACTGGGAAGTAGAGTTTTTGAATGTTCTAAACTCGGCTCAGTCACAAGCAAGGCGAATATTGGAGCGGGCTCCTTCCAGCAATGGAGCAAGTTCGCCCCCGTGACTACTTGCATCGAACTCTGCCGTTGCGAAGGAGTAGTCTTCACATTCGAATCCATTTGGGACGGTAATAGTCGCAGTCGACGGCCATTCCAGTCGAACGAATAAACATTGGCTCGACAGTCGTAGGTGGCGTGCACATCATACTGCCATGGCCTGCCGAGGATCAAATGGCAGACATCCATGTCTAAGACGTCACAAAGCACTTCGCCAACATATTGTTTTCCGATGGAGAACGCCACCCTACAGGATTCGGACACAAGAATTTCCATCCCCCGTTTGACCCAACTTATCTTATACGGATGGGCGTTCTTGATGGTTTTCAGATGTAAACTCTGCACCACTGCTCGTGAGATCACATTCTCAGTACACCCATTATCGATCAAGAGATCGCAGACTTTGCCCCCTATCGTGCAACGGGTTTTAAAGATGGAATGGCGTTGGGAATCAATGTTCTGTCGCGGAGCTAACAGAAGTTTCTCCAGTACACATACCAAAGCTTCTCCCTCATCCGCCGGGACATCCTCTGTTTCACAATTCGGTTCGCCTTCATCATTGGCTTGTTCTCCCTCCTCTTCACCTTCAGCCACATAGATCTGCTGCCTCTGAGGACACTCGTTGGATTTATGACCGAGCTGGAAACAACGAAAACATTTTAATGTCGACGGTTTGGCGTATGGATTGTCTCTAACGGGAGTCTTCAATTTTGGCTGATTTCGGGAATCAGTCGGAGTGTTACTGGGTGTAGCCGACGGTGCAGACGGTCCCACATTCTGTGTGGATTTGGCTACGGAGGTGCTCCCCTTTCCGGACACCAACGGTTCCTGCCAATGCCGTCGATTGTATGGGGTCCTATTTGGCCGATTCTGCTGCATCTCAATTTTCATCGCAAAATTGACAGCCTGGGCCATAGACCATACATAACTTAATTCCAACCGATCCTGGATACTGTCCTTCAAACCTCCGATAAAACGAGCTACCAAATGATTATTGGATTCATTCAAATTATTTCTAGCGGCTAGGCGATGAAATTCTTCAGTATAATCACTCACCGTTCGGGACCCTTGACTGCAATGCTGATACCTCAAGTATAGTATCTGTTCATAGTCTGTAGGTAAAAATTGAGCCTGTAGCAGTTGTTTCATGCGCTGCCAGCTGCGCACTCTTCCTTTACCTTCCCTTTGCCTCATCTGAATGATTTGTTCCCACCAAGCACTTGCACCACCCTTTAATCTACAGGCGACATACCTCACCTGTCGATCCGCCGAGACTTCCATATATTCAAAGAAGTTTTCCACGGCCTTCTCCCAATCTAAATAATCCTCTATATGCATTCTGCCATCAAAATAAGGGATATCTAGTTTAGCTTTAAACTCACCAGGTTGAAATTGAGGAGGGGGCGGTCTCCGCCTCTGGTGGTGTTCATAATGTTGGTGATTCCCTGCATCCTCTTCAGCGGAATCTATGAATTCCAATTCTCTGTTGAACGGCATTTCCTCATCAGATTCCGAAAAATCCTGTATCTCCGCTGGAATGTGGCGACGTGGGGGAGGTCGATTTGCCGCCTGACCCCTCCGTCTCATGTTTCTGAGATCCTGATGTTCACCGTGTTTTGGTTGAGGCTGTGGTTGTCTCGTCTGTAGGAGATTGAACTCGCGACGCACCTCCATTGTAAGCCTCTGAATATCCGCCGATAGATCATCTAATCGCCGGTTGAGATTCTCCTGGTTTGCCCAGAGCGCGTCCACTCCTCGCGCTCCATCGGTGATGGGTTCCTTGCCGCGATCCGCCATGTTTCTTCTCAGGTGAGGCTCTGATACCAACCTAATGCAGCTGAAACTAGCAGCAACAAAACCAGCCCAGAAACCTGCAAGAAAGAAAACACAATGCAAGCATAAGAACTCCAATTCGCCCGAGTAGAGGCAGAATCCTGTATACTCAGGGGTTTTGTATTGAATATCTTCAAAAGAGTAGTAAAAGTATCAAAAGCTGCTTCCAGCTTCCTATCCGACCCCTATATTACTCAGATAACTATTTTTGTAAATTTAATTATAAAAGAAAATGATTAAAGCAAATAACTGAAAGTGGTAACAAAAGGGAGTGGCTGTCAGAATTCTGTTAGGATGGCATAAGATGTGCTGTAGGCTCTCCCGAAGCTAAGATGCACTGCATCAGCTGTAGGGAATGATTATATATGTAATTTTTGTTGTTGTTGATTTTATTAGCACCGATTTAATAGTTGCAATGTCACTGAAATTTATATTTCTCATAAAAGATTTAGCATGGCTCACTCTCCTCATTATTTTTTTTCTAATACTCAAAATTTTAATATTACATTTCTATCATTCATATAAAATTTTAATGTCAAATATATCCTATAAGTTTTTATATTTCATTTCACGCACTCATATTTGTTTTATGGGTGGTAGACATTTAATATTAAAATTTTAAATGTTAGATATGTAAATAGCATGAAGCAAAGTGGCATGTATGTAAAAGTTTTCCCTTAATGTGACTCTTAACCCCTATCGATCTTCTATAATGTCAATATACATCATGATCATATTATGCTATCACAGCTAAATCTAGCTCCCAATGAACTACTGTGCTAAGATGCCTGTCAGCTCGAGTGACCTTCATTAATCTCGTCAATAAGAGCCTAGTGAGTGGAATTTTTATTGCGTCCCGTAAAAATACCGAGCATACCGAGTGTACCGAGCAGAGTACCGAGCACTTAGTGACGTGGCGTTTTGTTAGTGGTTTTCGAATGCATTCGGTAACCTGACGGAATCATTACTCCTAGCGAGTGACTTTCATCAGTTCGTTCGTGATGCTCCAATAAACTCTCATTATGAAACATCACGATCTTGTGATGTAATTTAGTTCGAAATGAACTATTAGATATATTTCTAAGAATAAAACAAATATTTCATAAATTTCTTCCATTTATTTAATTATGAGATCAAATATCCCTTTTTAAACATAATATGAAATACCTCAATATTTGAGTATTAAAGTGTAATATGTAAATTATTTAAAATGAAATAAGATTTATTGGCATATATTTAGAATTCATTTATTTTGAACATATAAATTGAATACATATAGCATATTTTATTTACTTGATAAGCTTGCAGTTGCCGCATGACAAATATAAATGCGAAGATTGCAGGAATCATTTAATCTCCTTATTTAATAAGCTTACGCGGTTCGATTCACTCAGAATTTAAAACGAAGAAAAAAAAAAAAAAATTTAAAACGAAAAAAAAAAAAAAAAAAAAAACCCAAAGTGGAAGAGAACATCCGACCGTCTATTGATGTGAATGAATGATAAAAAACGAATATACGAGCTTCTCTTCTCCGTCCTCGATTTACTAAGCTGCTGTAAACGATCAAGTAAGCGAAAAAATGGAAACTTCTCCGACTGCCAGGTAATCACTGGGCGGCCTTTGGTTTTAGATCGGTTCATCAAACTTCTTTGATTGCACTTGAAATTCGTTTCCTGTTATTGGATTAAGCTTTTTTGTGTGATCGTATACTGTATATTGTCGAGATTGTGGTAATTTTCCAGCTTGTGGGTGTGTATTAGGGCTTTGATATTTTTCTGATGAGGAATTATATCAATTGAGGTTTTATTACATTGGAGTTCCGAGGTGGATCACATTTGGGGAAAAGAAATCTGGGAGCTTGGGCTTTGTTCGTCACTCAGATGTTTTGATTGGAACTTCCAAATTTTTAAGGTTTAAGGGGCTGCTTCATTCCAAGATTTTGCTCAGATTTGGCCAGAGTTTAGGCTGAATTTTGTCAAATAGTTTTTTGAGCCTCATAAATCTAGTTTTTATTGAACTAACCGTCTTAAATCATGAATTACGTTGCCAAATACTTTCACAGAATTTAATAGCTAACTTGCCTACTGTTCTCAGGATTTAACGTACCCAGGATTTACTAAATCCTGCTAAATTTAAATCATTCTTGTAGCAACAACCATGCGTGCTTTTGCTTGCAAAGAAGACCAGAACCGAGTGATCTGGCTTGGGATTCTAACTTTTATATGTGATCTTGCGTGGTTGACTAGTTCATTGCACTTAGAGTCAGCCAATTTGTTTTAATGCAAGAGTTTGAAAATGGTTGGATTTGAGATCTGCAACTGAGTTATGTTTTTTGTTTGTTTTGTATGAACTCAAATATTATGAACTTGACTACAATATTAGTTGAAATGGAGTAAGTTTCATTTTTACCTTTCGGGGCTGCTTGGTATTCTATTTTAGGGAAGATTTAGCTTAAATGTTGCCAAATAGAATTTTAGAGACTTCAAATCCTACTATTTTGTTAAATCCTATTTCGGTCCAATATTAATTAAATTTAGAATTTGTTAAATCACACCATTCACAGGATTTAATGAATTTAGGGATTTCTTTATTTCACAAGCCTTACATTATGAAATAAATAACCAAAATATTTATTAGAATTTAGCAAAATTTAATAGTTTTCATCCCAAATAGTTTTCAGATTTTAACTCTCTCAAGATTGACTAAACTAGATTTATTGGATTTACTAAATCCTACTTGTTGCAAAACAACCCCTTCATTTCAGTATAATTATAAGCAATATTCTAACCTTCCTTCTTCTTAATTTTATGTTATATTATATAAAAAATAAAATTAGGATAAGAGGTTTCACTTGTCTTACACCATTGAGGATGAGATCTCTGACATCATTTAACTTCAATTTATTTGATTCATAAAAGTTGTTGATGATTATTGCTACACCGTCCTAATTTTTAGGGAGTGACAAAAATATACTTTAGGCACGATTTTCATCATTGAATTGATATCCATAGAGCTCAACTTATATTTGGGTTGAACTCATTAATGTGCTCAACAAAATAAACTCCTTCAGATATTTTAAAATTAGGACAATGCACATTAGATGTACTGTATTGACAATAAAGGGCTTATACATATCTAATAATGCATTTATCACGCATGATGTGGTCTTTTCATTGAAAATGTTGAAGGCAACATTCTTGATCAAGGATGGGTGAATAACTCCTCCGAGTGTTGCCTATCAATTCCTGCTCATCTTGATAAATAGCAGAAGGCTTTGATCCCTTTAAAGCTTAATTAAGTTTTCTTTGATAAAAATAATATTTTATTTACATCTTCCAATAATCAAACTCTTAACCATCAAATTTATTGATATTGAATTTTTTTTGTCTTGCATTGCTCAAATTTTTATATAGCTTAACCAAAAGCTCTGATAATAGTTGTTAGGATTATAAGATAATGATAAAATTTTGAGGGAAATCAAATGAAGACGAAGAACAAACCCACCAAAGTTCATAATCATATGACACACATGTTTTTATAATTATGTTGTGTTTTCTTGTGTTCACGATCAAATATAGATTAAATATTTAGTAAGCTTTAAAAGAGGAGTATTTTAAAGATTTCTTTTCATACATATAAAGATAATGATAGAGATACACTTTATCTATATCAATGATTGAGAGGGAAAGCAGTAGCCTGCCATGAAAATGAAGGCTAAATATGGAGAAGAAGACATTGATGCTAATGCTACTACCTTTTTCCCTTTTTGCTGCAAGAGCTTATTCCTCTATTTTCTTCTCTATTGCGATAACTTGTCCCACCAATAATCGAAATCTTAAATCTCTCTTTTCTCTATGTTCATCTTCTTTTTATTTGCTTGCGCTTATGAAGTACTTCAGCAGATTGGAGCCATTTCCTTACATGGTACTCAGAGATGATATATAGGAAATTTGAATTTATTAGGTAGATGGTGGTAGATATCGATATTAGATAGATGATAGTGGAAGATAAATTTATAGTATCTTGGTAGATGGTGATAGGTAGAAGCTTGTATGAGTTAGGTAGCCTGCAAAGTGCTCATTTTTTATCTTGCTCTTCACCAAGACATCAACTTATACTTCAAGATTTCCCAAGATTTTCCATTCTTTGAACTTGAAAAAATCTTATCTATTAAACTCTGGTATGTAGCCTCAATATTCTCAAAACCAAATGGCATAGCCTTCTCAAGAAAGTATCGAGAATGCTTAGTTTCAGGAATCCTATGATGGAGCGGACCACGGTGCCAACGTTTGGTAGAGAGTACTCTCTTTTGAACAAACTTGGTTAACCTTCTTGAAGTTTACGCATGTTCTCCAACTATCATTAGACTTTAAAATAGCCATGTTGGAGACCCACCTAGGGTAATATACTTCTTAGATAAAGTCTACTTTAAGCAACTTCCCCACTTTTACAATAATGGTGACCTTGATCGCTTTAAAGAACTTCCTTTTATTGCTTGATGACTGAGTTGTTTTCATTGACATTTAGATGGTGCCAGGCAACACTTAACATCTATTCCCGGTATCTTGGCATGGTCGAATGCAAATACATCTTGGTTACATCATAAAAGAGTGAGAACTTGAGAACAAAAAAGACCTTGGCAAGTTGCTTTTTCTATTGAAGTGGGCACTTCTATTACTTCTTCCTCGACTTTTCTCTTCTTCGAAAATGTATCCTTCTTGATAGAGTTTAGGTAGCATTTTCTTGATTGGATGAGATCTTTGTGCACAATGACCAACTTTTTAGGAGATGTGAACTTCATTGCTAGTTTTGTAAATAAGTTCAGCATTAGTTTATTGGCTTTCTGAGGCTTTTGTTGTTTTGGGATTTGCTAGGTGAAAGAAATTGAAATATATGAAGGAAATGATGAAGAGAATTTAACAAGTAATTGAAATACTTATCCTCACACATATTATACTATTCATCCACTTATTCAAATGTTTGAGATTTAAAGTAGGTTTTAACATTTACAATTTGACTTTAGGATCGACTTACAAGGATGATGATCTGCTTTAAACTGGATAATTCAATAATGTAGATAAATGGTGTAAGATTTGCGCTTATAAGTGCCTTTAGCCTTCTAAAAGGACGGTGTGTGTGTGTGGATGTCCCCTATTATGGTTGATAAGTGCCTCAAAAGTTTTTATCAATATTTTGGGTTTGATCATCACTTACAACATGACAGCTCACATTTGTGGAAATTGGGATGGGAAAAAAAATCACAACTTGCGACATTGCAGTCTCCTTCAATATTCATGTCACATATAACTTCTTTTAATACTACGCCGACTCCTCATTTGCATCATATCTATGTTGTAGTTGTTTCCTTCAAGTCCTATGCCACAATGTCACATTCATTGTGCTCATATCCTTATCCAAACTGAATGTTGCATCCTCATTGGCATTGCAACTTCACTTGTACCGTAACCGTACTTGTGACGACTGCAATTGCGCCATAACTTCACAAACATTGCAACTATATCCTTTAAAGACCTATATAAAACCTTTCTTGCGCCTTAGTCATCATTATGTTTAGACAAGCACCACAACCTTCTTCATGACTTATGTTACAACCCTTGTGTGTTGTAATGGTTGTTGTATCCAGACATGTGCCACGACCTTGCTTGGGCTGCAACCGTCTCTTTTAATACCCACTTCAAAATCTTTCTTGTGCCATTGTTGCTTTTTCCATAGCCTTGCTTGCTTTACAATTGCCTCTAGCATAATCTAGGACATAGTAGCCTCTACTAAGGTTACACTATAGCCACCTGCAGCCATGTCGTAACCTATGGTGCACTGACACTTTTTCTCAAAGACATATGCAGTGTCGGCACATATCCGACACGACACGCTTATGAAATTCCTCCGACAAGTATTGAACACGCCAAAGACTTGTCTGATTAAAAAATAATTAAAACTACACGCTTGTTTCAAATATTTTATGAATTTCTTTAAATATAATTTCTTATACTTCGAATTTTTATTTATTAAAAAAAATAAAAATTAAATTTCTTATTTTCTCTCTATAGCCACAAATCAATCGCCCGTACTTAATATCCCATTTCCCGAACATTCTCATTTTCATTTCCCTTTAGCGGTTTACAACTAGTATTTCACAATAACGCATGATGTCATCTCTCTAACACTATAAGAACAACCATATTAATATTAAAGTACGATGGTATCTTGATATTAAGGCTCAATACCACCAATTTTTACACTCATAATACCTTCCCCTCCTTTTTCATAAAAAAACTAAAAAAATGCCCACTCACAGTCTTGACGCTCCATCTTCGTCCAACATCATCTCAGTATTGACGACCGACATCATCCCGACATCGAGGGTCGATGTCGTTCCGACATCAAAGAATGGTGCCCATTGCACAATATGAATGCCCGACTCTCGACAACATTGTCATCTCTTCTCTCAATGCTTGACATGACATGTATCCCAAACTCTTTACATTCTAATATTAATTATTTTAAGCATATATTTTTGTTAAATGACTTACTATTTCTCAATTATTCTTAATATTCTGTTTATTCAATTTTTATACGCCATCTTTAAGATATAAAAATTGTCCAACCCATATCCGCGTTCTACATTTTCAATAATTAACGTGTTCCGTGTCTGTGTTGTGTCGTATTTATGTCGTCGTGTCGATGTATGTGCATTGTAGGTTACAATTGATATGTATAAGGACCTACCTTGTTGCTCTTGACTTTGTGTTCATTGACTGCCCATGAGGCATCATGCGCTAAAGTCCCTTTATTTTCTTTGAGTTGGACCACAAGAACAACAACATCAAGCTTTTATCCTATTGCATGGGGTCAGCTACGGACATTCTTTTCCACCATTATATTCTATTAAGAGTCAAATTCTCATTTAAATTTAATTAAAAAAAAAGATCATTTATAATATTTTCTAGTCAAGTCTGATTAATTTAATTTTTATAATGTTTTATAAAAGTGGATGATATTAAATTAGGTGAGGCGTCATTTTTTTACCCTTTGTGTTTTTCACATAAAAAAATGTCTTGCATTTCATTTTTTGTGTGATATTGAAAAAAAGCTAATGCCCTCGACATTAACCTTCGTCCTCTAGCTTGATTTTTGGCGGGCAACAGTCATCATTAGAGTATGTCCTCATTAGGATGTTATATTGTTTTCTTTTCTTCTATTCTAAATTTTTAATTTCTTGGCACAGTTTTATCTCAAACGAGTACCATTTTCTTTGATAGAATTTTGAAACAACGCATTTTCAGTTCCAGTGATGGGATCAAAAGTGTTGATCTGAACAAGAAAAGAAAGCTACAATATGAATCAACTAGTCTGGACATCTCTTCCCCAAGACAGCGATTTAGAGTTGGAACCAAAATCTTTGGCCAAGGCTTGGTGATCAGAGGGGGTTTTCCTGAGGATCCAATTGTTAGAAAAATACAGAATGAACCACAAGAATCAGCGAAGGATAGCAACAGTTTCATTGGAGCCTCTGATGGTAAAGATTCAAGCGAAAATTCCATTACTTCAACTTTTCATCAAAACCGAACTTCAACCTCTTTGAACAGTTGCGGCAATGAAGTTTTTAAGAGTCAGCTCTATTCCTTGGAAAGCAGAGATATGGAGTGTAGTAAGTGCAGATATGAAGGACACTCTTCAGTTTGATCCAGGCTACAATGTTATGGAGGACATGCACTCTGGTTTTGGATTAGATCATGCCATTTTAGAACTTGTGAGTGAGGTTGATGTGGAGACCGAAACTATGTTTCTCTACTCCAACGATGTATCGCCACATTCATTCAGGCTCGCATCTGGAAGGTGGAACCCTGGAGAAGGTACATTCTTACTCTCTTTAGAGGAACCGAAAAATTTTTCTAGCTTTTGCTCAGAGTAAATTCTGTTCTCCACAAAAAAGCTAACTAAAATAGTCAAATTCAAATTCAATCCAGTGAAACACACTTAGTTTTTTTTCGACTCCTGTTCAGGTGCTCCATTGGGTGTTAGGAGCCCGACTATTGATCAAGAGTTCGAGCAGTATTTTGCATCTCTCCTGCTATAGCAACAACTTGTAAGGTAACTCAAGTCTTTTGACATCTACTTCTGACAAAATTAACACACTGCTATGCTTGCATGGTCAATGATATCGAGCCTTGATATGCTTGCCGGAACCCATGGGGTCCGACCCTGCCGGAAGTTGCAAGCGCGACTATCAAGGCTCGCCAGGCCAACAATTACTAGTAAAACTACTTCATGATTGAACTTTTACTGGAATGTCTCTCCATTTGTACCTGGAGATTACTAAGTCATCAATGACGGAAGTTTTAGCTTTAGGCTTCGTTTGGGACGACTTTCTTACTGCTTTTTAAAATAGTTTTTTAGTACAAAAGCTAAAAATTTTGTATTAAAAAGTTGCTTTAAGAAGCAATAAAAGATTGTCCCAAATGATATCTTAACCACCATTCATCACTTATGTGAATGAGCTTTCTGTATAGAGGTAAAGGGTAATGCCACTAGACTTCACACGTAGTAGTATTATTCTGTATTGATATTGTATCAGCCTCTCCATATATATCTAGAAGTTCAGGAAAAAATGTTGGATACAGTTCTGCAATAGCAGCATGATATTAGGATCATTATCTAGCCTGAAAAGGGACTAAGGGCTTATTTGGTTTTTTGAAATTAGAATTTCTGATAATTTTAGAAGTTGAGCATATAAATATATATTGGAAATGAATATATATAAGTTTTATTTATGTTCATTTATTAAAATAATTGAAGAAGTTAAAACAAAATAAATATAGCTCGATATGTAAGTAAAAATTCTTTTAATATTTGACCTGCTTGTTTATTTATGTTCATAAATATGCTCTTGTATTGTTTTACAAATTACTTATTAAGAGCTTTAGAAAAAGCTAATTTGGTTCTTTTTTATAATTTATTTATATATCTCATCAAATTTTTAATGTTGAAGGATTGTAATTGGGTGATGGCCGAGCCAATCTTATAAATATTGATCAAATAATTAGATGAACAGAATAATATTTCTAAAATAATAATAGTATAGTTGAATATAGGAATACTGCTCAGTGAATGACTGACCATTTTGATAAAAAAAAAAAAGAACAAATTTATCATTGTAGCGATATCATTATTTGCTTAGATCATTAGATTCCTAACTATAATTAGCCCAGTTCGATAATGCTCAATTTTGATAAAATAGTTAATAAAAATCTTAAATAAAATTTTAAAAATAAATAAATGAATGAATTTAAATAATATACTATTCAATCTGCAGACTCGACTCAATTACAGCTCTTAACCTCATCCAAAGATTGAATTGGAAAGAAATACGTAGAATGTCCTCAATTTTTTTCTTGCTGATTATTCTCAGGTAACTTTAGCTTTCCTGTTCGATTTGCTGCTTCTTGAGGCTAAGAGCAATGATGGGGTCGGGGCTCGTGTCCCGTTCGTGTTTGCTGGTGGCAACCGTTGGTGTGGATGGACGTTTCTACACTTTACTGGAGGGTCCGTGCGGGACGTCGTGGACGCTGGAAGCCCTGACTAATTTCTGAGCTCTTTTTTAGCTTTTTATATCTCTGTTGTTTGGTCTTCTCTTTTGCTAGTTTGTTTTTTTTTATTACTTTTGTTGTTGTAACCTCTTTTTGGCTTATTTATAATATTCTGGTTGGATTAAAAAAAAAAAAAAAAAAAACGTGGTTTGAATAAAAAAAAAAAAAAAAAAACGTAGAATGTCCTCAATTTACAGAAAAGTTTGCAAAGTTTAAAATCATTATTTTGCTAAATAATTTTTACACGACAATTGTCAAAAGCTTAGATAATTTCTATGATCAATTAAAGCGATATTAAAGAAGAAAATAAATAAATTAAAATAATACTTTTGGGTGACTGATAACGGTTCTAAAAAGAAAAAAAGTTTAGTGGATTAATTAATGCTTCCAGCTTTTAATTACCATATTTATTTATTTTTTAAGCAAATCGGTTCAATTAGCATATAATTTTCCGATTAATATAATAAAAATAAACATTTAGTCCCTTTCAGTCGGTTAAATCATCTCTACGTCAAATTTAAAAATCTTCAGGGTCATAATAAAGGATGTGATAGCGAATTAAATATAATGAAGAAGACTAAATCATGTCTGAAGCTTTGAAAGCCACCATTTCAACTGGAGTTTATGAATTATAATTTAAAAATTGAATTAATTGAAATTGTTTAAGAAAATTTATGAATTAAATACGGTTGGACTACAAACTAATCAAACCGAGTGAGTATATGAGTGTTCATGTTTGATTCATGTTCGATTCGTTTAGTGCTTATCGAGCTTTAAACAAACAAGCTTAACGAGCTATATTTGTGAACATATTTAGTGAATTTTTTTAAACTATCAAACAAGCATATTCATGAACAAATTTAACGAGTATTCTGGAGCTATCAAATTAACAAAGATCTAATGATCTAATATAATAAATTAGCAATTGTAAGGAAATTAAAATTACAACATAAATTATAATATTTAATTATTTTAAAATTTATTAATTAAAATAATTATATCATTATGTTATAATAAATTAAAATATTTATATTTTGTATGTTTATCAATTTTATAATTAAATATTAATCAAGTTTTATGGAGCTTATTCATGAGTTCTGAATTAAGCACAGATCGAGCATGTCACGAGCTTCAGATAATTTTGTTTGTGAACATAGATGTACCGAACAAATGAGTGTTCAAGCTTGTTTATTTAAGAATTGAGTATTAAAAAATCTATTCAAGTGTGTTTGTTTAGTTAGTTAAACAATCACAAACAAGCTTTAATCGAACCAAGCAACGAGTAGCTCATCGAACGTTTGGTTCGCTTGCAGCCCTAAAATACGGTCTAACAAAAAAACAATGATTATTATAAGCTAATATAGGATCAAAATAAAATACCACTATTTCAATTTTAAGTAAAGGCTACAAGTCATTTGTTCAAAAAAAAAAAATGAAGCAAAACCTTAGAATGAAATACCATTTACTCAAGTAGCTAGGAAACTAATACAATGAATTTCATTACAATGCATTCTCATAAATTATTCACAAAATATTATAAAATTACCCCTAAACATATATAGTATACTGGCAAGAAAACAACAAATAAAAATAAATATATATTTTCATGGCTTATATGATTACATGAGCTGGCAATTTCTATCTCCATCATCACAATCACTTTAAACTGAATGATATATATGCTATAGCTCAGCTAGCCAACAAAAAGCATGAGAGATATATATTTTTGGCATGGCATGGCATGGATTGTGACAAGTAACGTTCATTGGTCTTTTGAATCATTAGAACACTGAAGAAATTTTCATATGAAGATATATATAAAATGGAACAAGCAGACAAACGACTTCTCCCATTATTTTGGTATAAAATATCGATCAAATGACTCACACTGCAGCCACTTGTTCATCATTTTACTCCCAACTGAACCAAAATACTCACTCAATTAAACTTCCTTATTAATATATAATGATTCAATATCTAGCTAGCTAATAGTTCATATATACATATATATCGTTTGTCCGTTCTTTTGGGAGCTGTTTTGGTGCTACTGTTGTTGCAGATGCAGTCTTTTTGGATGTTATTTCCCTCTTTACTTTGATTGGTATCGGGTCGTTTGACTGCTCCGGGTAGCTATTAATCGAGGTGCTGGTCTTGATGCTTGCTGCCGTTGGTGCTTTTCCTTATTGGATTTTTGTTGTCTTCCTTATTTGTTTTGCTTTTATTTTCTTGTAATAGATAGGATATATAATTCTCAGGTTTTATTTTAAATACTGATCTTTGAGTGAGCTTATGATCCTCTAGGACCTGTAATTTTTAACTTTATTTTATCTATCTATATATATATTGTGATATATCTCATCATCATCACCTCGATGGAGTTCTTCGATCTTAAAAATATATTATATAATTTCAAATCCTTTTGAGCAATAAAATTAGTTCAAATTTGCAATTTTTTTTTTTAAAGAAAATGTTAATTAGTTGAATGTACACGCAAGAACTGATCAGGAAAATCCTATTGCATATAACTCATAACTCGTTAAATAAACAAGTTCCAAGAACAAAAATAAAAGACAGAACAAAAATGTTGAGAGGTTTTACCTGTTCATTAGATCAGATGGAAGAAAGGAGAAAAGATCATATAGAATATGCGCGCGATTGATATTAAAGTCATTTATTGCCGAAGCAGCATCATCAAGATTCTCAATCCTTAAGGAGTAGCTAGGACTATATATATTATAAATAAATTGGCCCACGACAATGCTCATGATATATATAAGAAAAAGAAAAGAGGAATAATATTCTATTTATATGAAAATATATAAAAGAGTACTCCTTTCAAAGTTTGTGAATCTTGATGGTGCCACACCAGCAAACAGCGACTGGTTAAGCATCTTTCTTCAGCTAATTCAGCAGAACTCGTAACCTAATTAAACCAGAAATCATGAAGAAGAATA